TATAATTATCTCAAATACTGTATATATGTAATCGAATATTAATAATATTCAATTCTATTTTCTTCAACATTAAATAAATATTTATAATTACTTAATATTATTTAACAAAATATATTATTTTAAAAAAATTTTTTTAATATGTATTAATTATATAATTATTATAAATAAACTAATATTTTACTTATTATTGTTTTTTTCATAATGTATATCTTGTTATATATAAATAAAGAAATAATATTTATCTATAAAAAAAAATAATAATAATAAAATAAAATAAAATTATTAGAATTCTTAAAAAAATACTTTATAAACATCCTTATTTGTATAATTACCGAGGTAATTTGTTACGTACATGTGATACAATTTTTTGGATGATGATTCTTAGGGTTCGGAAAAACTTTTACTAAATATAGATTCAATCAGGATTTATGACGAAAGATTAAATCGGCCAGTGCGTTGCCTTATATAAAAACTTCTTACCTTAATATTAAGATTGCTTTTTAGCGTATTGTTTTTACTTCTTGTAAGTAGGAGAACATTTTTTAATCTTCTGAGTATGTATTTGATGAAGATGAAATAGAATGCTACAGAAAAGTTTACCTTGGGGAATAAAATATGAAAAAGAAAAAAAGAAAAAAAAAAACTTTTATAGCCTGTGGCGTAGATTTAGATCTAACTTTTGTGTTAATTGTAATTTATCAAACTAACCGTAAATCTATATATGTTGTCATTATGTAGATTCTCCAATATAAAACTTTGTAAACAAAAAAAAAGATTTTAATATATATTTTGAAAAAAAAAAATTATAGAGAAATTTTTTCTGTCATTTCTGTCAATTACTGTGATTCGTTACAATGGCTGATGATTTCGATATCTACAATGAGGATAACTTTGGTGCAAATGGAGAAGCAGTACGTCAAGATTTGATTGATTCGTTTACTAAATTGAAGTTTAAATAATCCAGATTTCTTTAATTTTCTGAGCGAATCCTTGTAGTCAGATGATTTATACGCCGAGATCCTAGAAGAAGATGATAATCGTCCTTCAAAACGTAGCAGGAGAGATGACGACATTAATTATGATCATGCCGAACCTCATCCTGGAGGACAAGAAGAAAAGGATGATGGTGATGATTTGTTCGCGGATTTCGGGGAAGGTGAAAAGGTTCGTAATTACTTCACAGCGCAGCTTTTGTTAATGTTTCATTTCATATTATTAAACTGTATATAAGCTGGAGCTGCGCTGTGGTGTATTGCAAGGATGGGAGGATATCATACGGATCGCAAGTTTGCTTTCATTTGATTTTGTTTTCAATCTTTGTTTGTTTCGTCTGCATTGCCCGTCTGCACTTGTTCTTCAACTGTTAAGGTTTAGATGATAGTTTTGCACTTTATCATTATTTATGCAAAATTGTATATAAGAAAAGATGTATCAAAAGAAGATCGAGAAAAAATTGTATAAAAATAAGTAAAAAAATAAAACTTACTCACTTGAACTCACCAGCATTCGCTTTTTTTTTTTCTTTTCTCACTCTCCAAATAATTCGTCATTTGATTCGTATGGTATTTGCTCGAAATCTTGATCTCGATTTTAATACAGGATTATGAAGTGAAAATGGAGTCGACGGAAGAAGATCAAATGGCTGCTACGCATACGAATCCTCAAGAAGGTAATTGGAAAAATTAATATACAAGCATGACAAGTACGACGTAGCAATTCCTAAACCACCTTATTTTGGTTGTTCGTTATCATAGGTCGTACCAATAGCATACCACGAGTATCTTCATCCAACAATAATATAGGTCAGCACATGCATGAACGCAGAACAGCTGCAAATGCTACAAATGCTTTATATATTGGCGAATTGAATTGGGTAAGTATTATTTTATAAACTTTCTTTTAAAGTTATGAGCGTGATGTTAAAATGTATGAATTGCTATTAACTAGTGGACCACTGACGAGGATCTTCGCAATGTCGCGCGCGAAGTTGGAGTCGCAAATGAATTGACCGAAGTCACATTCTATGAACACAAAGTTAATGGAAAATCTCGGGGGTAACTGGTTCTATTTACATAATTCTGTTTTCTTGTTATTTTGCAATGATATTGCACATAATCATTTATACAAATTCTTCTGTGATAGTGTTGCATATATGGAATTTTCCACTCCGGAATCGGCAAGTAAAGTCAAAGATCGATTGGAAGAAATGTGAGTTCAACTCAATTATGAAATTTTCTTATTATACTTTTGAATGGTATTCACTTACTTATGTATTATCAATAATCAAGTGAAGTCACCGGAAAGAAATGTCTTGTTAATTTTACTAGTTCGGCTAATGGAAATCCATTTAAGACTGTTCCGAAAGGTAAGAATTTTATTCTCTGGTTTTATTGTAAAATAATTTCTTAGTAATTTGTTATTCAATTATCAAATGTTAATTGAATTTATAAAGAACCTCCTCCAAAATCTGCCCGTCAAGCGATGCAACAGCAGCCATCTGCACAAAGAGCATCTACTAATTTGCCTACGCGTCCACAGGTCATGAGACCGAATTCGCTCGACTTTCATCAACCTCGTGGCGGTTTTCGAACCGGGCAAATGGTTGCCGGGCCAAGAGATTTTTTTGCCCCTCCAATTGCACCTTCAGCGTACACGGGATTTGCAACTGGTAGAAGTGGGTACATGAATGGTTTTGGGGCCACCGGAGATGCTTCATACGCTATGATGGCACGTGGCGGAATGATGAGTATGCGGGGTCAACCTGTTAGTCATGTCCGTCGTGGAATGATGGGTGGCCGTGGTGTGATGCGTGGAGGATACGGTGATGATTATATGGGTGGAAATATGGGTGCTGGTATGGGTGCAAATATAGGCGGATTTAATAGTAAGTGATCGGTTTACTCTTTTTTCGTCATAAGCCTTAAAACACACAATATCTTGACAAACTAAATTAAACATTGTGATCGTGGACTGAATTACATTATTAGCTCCAGCAGGTCCGGGATTTCCAGCTCCACATTTTAACCCCGCATTTTTTGATCAAGGATATGGTGGCGATGATGTACCTGTTGCACCACGAGGACAAAGGTATTTCCCCTAATACTCGACCGCTTTCCTTGCAATCTCCGCTGTGGGAACTTAATAATTCCGACTCTTACGATGCATATGATATTAAATCAACTACACAGAGGTTACGATGGAATAACTCATGGTATGAAAAGAACTCGAGAAGATGACGATCGTGGACACATGGATGGAAGAGGTAAAAAGAAGCTCATTCTTCTGCAAGCTTTTTCAAGTTTACTGAATATTTATTTTTGCATCGGGTATTTTCTATTATCAGATCGTCGATATTGATCCGAAAGTTTATCGTAGGTCCATGAGATTCCATGATCCAAGATTTCATCTCATGTGATTTTCCTTCTAGTTCTCTGATTTTTTAGTATCAATCTCGAGCTGCTCTTTTTACGTCGCGAGAGACCGATTTGCGTAAACTTACCTTTTGATGATTATTTCCTGTTGTAGTTCTGCTATATAAAATCGTTCCTTAAACCATTTTATAAATACCATCTTGAAATGGGGTTTTTGTGCCTAACGATTGGACGTATCATACCATCGATTGAGAAAGGTACAATTCAATTTGAGAGATTAAATTTCCTGTTAATGGTTTTATCTATTGATTCGTATATAGTTTCCATGTATTTCTTTCCTAATCGAAAACCTTATGCTTCCTTTACAATTTATGTCCCCTATTTTACGTTTAATAGAAATATTTGTAAATTTGTGGTATATTCATTAGCTTATTTTAATTACGTGATATAATCTTTAAAAAAAACCATTTTACATGTCTTATCGTTTATACTATAATAATCAAATGATCTTTAAAAGCCATAAAAATCGGAGTTAGAATGTTTAAAAACTAACAAATTGCTGATATTTTGAATAGATAAATTATTGTTTTTTTTTGGCAAGCAATCAATGCACACTTTATTTGAAGCAATATTCATTATTAAGTATATTGTGATTTTACAAAAATAAATTAATTGTAATCTGTCAAAGTACAGGTAACACATGAAATTTTAAAAATCCAAAAAAGAAAACAATAATTAATTACTAGTTATGTTATTATCTGTATATACTGTATATTTTGCTTGATAATATAGCCTGGACCTGTTTAACAATTTGATTTTATTGAAAGTAAGAATAATAAATTATAAGTCTTGTTTATTTTTTTTCTTTAATTTTTAATTAAACTGTTAATAACATATTTATTATTCTTTTCAAATAATAATGATACAATATATAATATAATTTTTTTTTAATTTTTTTAAGAAATACAGTGTGGATCAAAAATAATTGAACAAAAAATAGATTTAATAAAATGTATTTAACTTTTTCAATTTTAACATATTATAATCAAAACTTCTTGGAAAGAAACATCAGGTAAGTGATAAAATAACGATATTTTTTTTTTTATATTTATTATTAAAATTTCTAATTTATTCTCATATAAAATATCTTTATCCAAGCAGGAATCACAATATCAATTCATATTATATTTCTGAAATGAGAGAATACAGAACATAGCTGAAATTCAGTGACAAACTAGTATTCCATGTTCTACGATATATAATATTTTAAAAAAAATTAAAAAAACAGAAACAATGAAACATGCGAGGGGTAATGGTCAGCCTCGAAAGATTATAAAAGGAGTTAAGGATCCTAAAGATTCTGTGTTCGATTCCATTCGATTTCAACTCTTATAGTAAATTTAATAGGTGGGTTATAACCTACTTATGTTTTTTATATGTATGCGAGTCCATGCGAATCTATGTGATTCCAATTTTCAGAACCATAAGAGGAGTATCGCATATATTAGGTCAATATGTTCAGCAAAATCTAACGATTTCAATGAGAATCTTGACAATGAAGTTAAAAAAAAAGGTATTCAAATGGACTATAGGACTGTTGGATGCCATTTGTCTTTGTTTGGTTATAAAAAAAGTCTTTCCCTAGCTACACCGATACTTATAAAGGCATAAAAAAAATGGGTGGAATAGGCTTACCAGCATCAAAACAATAACTGAAACCATACTGTTTTCATTGATAAGATAGTCTTTTACTTGTTTCAAAACATTCTGGAATAGTGGTATAAAGGTCCGCGGCCAACTCGTGTGATTTCTAAAGATTAACAGAAAGTCTTCACTTGGGTGATTTTTATAAGAGAGGAAAAATTAATTTATTTTATTTTAAGAAAACAATGAATGATGAATTTTATATAGAGATTCTTTATATGCACTTTCATAAAATCAATGGTTTGCTAGGAACTCGATGGTATTACAATAGGATAATGATCCAAAACATACTGTATATATCAATATAAAATCTTTTTTTTTAAAAAATTTACAATAAACTGAAATTATTTATTTATTAAATCATAAAACTATTACAAATATAAGAATATATACAAAGTATAAATCTTTTTAATTCAGTTTACTTATTAATAACCAAAGCCTTTAAATGTAATTTATTAAAATAATATATTGTTTTCTAATAATAGAATTAAAATTAAAAACTTTTAATAAAACTAAAACCTATAGATTAACTTTATATTTATAATAATAAATTTAAATTATATTATTCCTTCTTATAAAAACTATATTAAAAAAAGAAATAAAAAATTATATAAAAAAAAATAGAATAAATATATATATAATAATAAATAAAAAAACCTTTTATTATTAAAAAGATTATTTCAGTAAACAAAATTCAATTTTTTAATGATTACTAATATATTTATTTTTTACTATTTGTAATTAGTCAGATTGTTTAATATCTATTGAAGTAATAATATTTAAGAATGCTTAGAATACTTTCAAAAAAATATTTTTTAAAACTTTATATTTAAAAACTTTTAATCAAAAAAAATATTAGTTTTTTATTATTAATTTCTTTTTTAAATTATATTTTTTATTTTATTTTATTAATATATAGTTTCAAAAAAAAATTTTTAATTATTTTTAAAATAAATATTATTGTTTCAACTTATTATTAAATTAAAATATAACTTTAATTTTATAACTATTTCTTGTTTTTTTAAAAAAATAGTAAAAAAAAATAAACAAAAAAAAAACAAAAAAGCCATTGTTTTTTTTTTAATTATAACTTTACTTTTTTTTTTTTAGAAATGAATATATAGTATAACAATACAAATCTTTATTAATACTTAATATTTCAAAGTATATTAAATGTCTTTTTATAATTGGCAATTGTAAACTAATACTACCTAATACTTGTTATGATAATAGCTTACTATTTATCTTGAATTTAACTATGGAAACTATATATCAATGATGAAGTTAACATATCAAATAGAATTTCTATATAGGAAAAAAAGTTCTATTACTAATTTAAATCACCTAATCTATATTAATTCATTTATTAAAAACTATATCTATCCTATAAGGATTAATAAAATTTCTGAATATTCTAATACTTTTTATTTGAATCTTCAAAGAGAATATTTGTTTCTTGTTATTACCTATGACTTCAATAGATTTTTTTCCAAAGATCAATTTCTTTTAAGCATATATCAGATTAGAATAGCTCCAAACTAAAAAATCTTAAAAGAATTGAAATAAGACTTATTGAATACAATATATACAAGATAGCTAGCACAACTTGTATATGAAGGAATTTCATAACAATTATTATAATATTAAATGAATAATTATTATACTATAATATCTTTTTTGATATTATAATTCTAATGTCTACTATATCAGTATAAGAAATGATATCTTATAGGAAACAGTATATAATAAGCCATAGTATCAAATATCATTTTTAATTCAATTTAACTGTCTTTATATAAAATTGAACTGGTATCTTATGATCTGAATCTGAAAGCACTAACTACTATACTATTGATCCACAAGTTTTAATTATAACTTTACTTTTATTAAATACTTTTATATTATTCTTTTATTAAAAATTTAAAGTTAAATTAAGATAAACAAAATTTTTCAAAAAAATTAGAAAAAAAAATTTACTTAAAAAAAAAATAGAAGTTAAACTTTTTTTTTTTTAGGGCTTCTAATAGTATTACTTCAATACTTATTTAATATCAGTTTGATACTTAAATTTATTATAAATTTATATAAGTAAATTACAATTCATATATTAAATTTACAATAGACCTACCCGGTCATAGTCCAGTGGGCTAAGGCAGGGTAGGGCTAACCTATGACCTACGGTTCAACTCCAGCTG